AGAGCAGGGGAACAGCTGATGCCGCTCCTGCCTGGAAGCGTCCCGGCAGGGGTGGCAGCAGCTGCTCCTAGAGAGCAATGGAACAGCTGATGCTGCTCTGCGGGGACCTCGTCCCCAGCAGGAGTGGCATCAGCTGTTCCGTTACTCTCTACAGTAGAATCTGTATCATCCGACATATTCAGTAATCTGACCCCAGGTGTCGGTCCTGTTTAGGTCGTATGATAGGGACTCGACTGTATTTCGATATAACAGGCTTGCTCTTAAGATGCAGCATAGCTATTTTGGGATACCAAGGTAGACATAGTCACAGTGGGAGAATTAGAGAGACTACTTAGAAAACTGTAGTTTTCTGTGCTGAAACAGCATGAAGATCACTTAAAGAACACACTTTTTTAAAGGCATCTGTACACACACACTCAGTTCCAACATTGCACAGCTCTCCAAAGCAAGTTTCTCTTTCTCAGGGATTCTGGGAACGTGGTCTGCAATGTCACAACTCTAGTACAAGAATGTGTGTGGTTTTCTGCTCACAAATACTTTTGTGAGTGGAATCTCAATTTGCCTAAAACAGCAGGCCAGGAGCATAAGCCTCATCTCACTGTAGTCTGATCTCACTCAGTTCTGGGAATCAGGATAGGTGCTTACATCAGATGGTGGATTGGGAGCAGCAGCTGCCATTATAACATGAAGGCATGAGAAGTCTAGTTGGATCCAGATGCTGAACTAGGACCTAAACAAGTTTTAAGGGTCCTTGGGGTATTTCTAGCACCATTTACAAATCGAAAGACCTTTTCCATAAGTAGTATGAGTGTGGCTGTAGAAGCCTGATGCCCTGCTAACCTTGGCAAGGTGATGCTAAAGACCCATGTTCACTGTACATAATTCTACACATCATTGCTCCAATCCCGAAAATGTGTCTGGAGGGGTTACTACAGTAACAATAACACTAATCTTTTCCTAAGCTTAACTTCGGGATGTAAATAGGTGTGGGTATTTGTAAGGGGTTCTGAGAGGTGGAATTTACAGCACTTGGAGGTACCTTTTACTGACCATACATCCATAACAGCCACATTATCAGACATGAATGACCCGTGTGTGCATGGCTTGGGGCATGAAAAGAAAAAGAGAGAAATGAAATGAGGAAACTTTTACCTGACAGGTGCGCCACGGGACTGTGCAGGCTTCAACATGACTGTGATGGTAGTGTCAGTTTCATTCAAGGGGGAATCCGTGTCATATTCAGGCATAGATGGTGCTGTGGCAGAACAGAGACCAATATGTAAATTATCCACTAGATTTTGTGTTTATTTTTTTTTCAGGGGTGATGGCAAAATAACATGAATGACTCTTTGAGTCTGGGTAGCATTTTTCACCTGAGATGTTGAAATACTTTGCAAACATTAAGGGTATGTCTAGACTACATGGCTCCCTCGACGGAGCCATTAGATGAGTTTACTAGACATAGGAAAATGAAGTGGCGATTTAAATAACCGCCGCTTCATTTACATCAAAATGGCTGCGGTGTTGTGCCGATCAGCAGTTTGGCGGCAAAGTGGGACAATTTGGACGTGCCGCAGTCGACAAGGAAAACCTTTGTCGACTGCTCCGGTAAACCTCATTTCATGAGGCATACCGGAGCGGTCGACAAAGGCTTCCCTTGCTTCCCTTATCGACCGCGGCGCATCCAGACTGCCCCGCTGTGCCGCCAAACAGCTGATCGGCACAACACCGCAGCCATTTTGATGTAAATGAAGCGGCGGTTATTTAAATCGCCACTTCATTTTCCTATGTCTAGTAAACTCATCTACATGGCTCCGTCGAGGGAGCTATGTAGTCTAGACATATCCTAACGGTGGAATTTTCAAAGCTGTTTAAAAGATTTGGACACCCACATCTCTTTAAAAAGTAATTGGAATTGGACTTCAGCATCCCTCTTTAGTTAAGTAAGCCACAGCACTCCTATGAAAATGGCATTGCTTTCTACATTTTCACATGGAGAGCCACACAGAGGGTAAGTGATTAACACAGTGTGTCAACAACACAACTGAGATCAAAGCCATTCTCCTGCATTTATAATACATTTGCAACACCTGAGATGCAACTTTCCCAGTTTAGGCTTTCCCAGTCTAGACTGCCACGCTGTGCCAGATCAGCTGATTGTCATTTTATTATTTAAATCCCCACTTCATTGACTATGTCGAGTAAATTACTTTACATGGCTCCGTTGATGCACCCAAAGAGATACCTATGCAAGTCATTTTTTCTTGCTTTATTAATTTGCTCGCTCTGGATCTACAAAGGACAAACTAAAGCCAGGTCTCTTCCCTTTTCCCACAATGCCATACCTGAAATTTTAGTGGCAATCCGTGTTGTGATGGGAGGTCCAAAACCTTTCACAGTGCTGGCTTTGATGGTGAACGAATAGGTAGTCCCTGGATATAGCCCTACAAAGAGGTGGTGAGTTTCATTCCTTAATTTGAAAATCTTTCCCCTCTGGCTGGATAAGTCAGCTCTGGGATCCAAGGACCCAACAGCCTTGTATGTAATCTGCAAATAAAGAACAGATAGAGTCAGGATGATTGCACTGACATCAGGATTGTCAGGCTAAAACCAGATGTGCTTTCATTATCTTCTGTGAATGTTTTTTTATTAGGATGCTGGAGATGCAAGCATAATGTTTTGCCCACAGTTTTACTTCATAGAGGGCCTGGTTCTTCCCTTCCATTACCAACAGGCACAAACTGAATTACAAAGTGAATGATCAGGTTTGTTTGGTTTTTTTAAAGAAATCTCTTAATTTCTTCATCCCCATTAAATTTGGCCGCACAATTGTAATGAATATTTCTGGTATAATTCCCTCTCTCTCCTCCATGATGTGAAATAACTCATGGGAAAATTTCCCATCAAGTATTTTTTTTCCTGCCAGCTAATGCCCTGATCAAAAGCCAGTTGAAGCTACTGAGAGTCTTTCTGTTGACTTCAATTGGCTTTGGATCATTCTCTAAAAGAGAGAGAATTCCTGAACCAGAGAGAATATCCTTTTAAGAACATGAAATAAATACTCCCCTCTCTTATACAAATTCCCCCCCCCTTTCCTGTGTTTTTGAGACTGCTTCAGACTGGTTTTTTTCTAGTTCTGTCCTTGGTTTTTGGGATTTGTATATGAGTGCTGTCCCGGATTTCAAGCTCAGAGAGTTAGCAGTTGGGTCTGGATCCAGACAGATATTCATGAATACATATATTGCCAGTGATAACATATCTTTAGAGAAATACAAGCCCAAAGCATACCTTTGAAATTCAGTCTGAGTTCCATTATGCCTACCAGTGGCAATTCTGTTGATATACAGACATTGGCGGTAAAACTCATGACTTATTTACCATCTGATTCCTTCTCTATGTTTCAAATTCAATTGAAAGGAAGCTCAATTTCAACTGAGCTGTCAATATAATATACTATGCTCTACTGCTCCCCTAACCTTTCCTGATATTACAGGATCCTCACTTATTTGTAATGAAACACTATGAATAAATCAATGTATGTTAATATAACAAGTCTTTAATTTTTTATGAATGTCTTCATGAGAATCTAATTCTTGGCTTTGCCAGAAGAAGCCTTTGAAAATTCTAAGATCCTTGTATCCTGGCAGAAAAAAACTTTTATTTTGAAGAAAAAACAAATATGTAATGTAAAAAAGGGAGAATCATATAACAGGCTGGGAAACAGAGGCCTATGCTTACTGACAACATGCAGAAACAATAAATCACACTGTTATTTAGGCAGAGGAAGATCACGAAAGAGAGCTGATACCCAAAGAATAGAGGGATTAAAAGGAAGACGAAAGAATTCAACTAGGGTCCATAATGATACAGAGCAGCAAGAATTGAGGGAAGTGGCACCATCAAAAGCAGCTCCGTTAAATCAGCTTGTCCATATTCTCAATTTAAATTCACTGTTTTACAAAGGAACTAAATCAGTAATTCTCAAACTTTTTGGCCTGTGGACCACCAGGCTCAATGTAAACATTTCTGCGGACCACCAGTTGTTAATGGAAACGTACGGTTAATTACATAATTACACCCGAGCTATTTTGCTAGTGCTGCAGCTAGGGAGACTGGTTTAATATAAATTCTTAAAGAGTATGTCTGCACTGAAAAGTTAATTTGAAATAACAGCTGTTATTTCAAATTAATTTCAATACCATCTATACATGCAAACTGCTATTTCAAATTTGCGCTTAATTCGAATGTGGTAAACCTCATTCTACGAGGAGTAACGCCAAATTCGAAATAGCTAATTCGAAATACAGGCAGTCCCTGGGTTACATCAATCCGACTTACGTCGGATCCCTAGTTACAAACGGGGGGAGGGGGGCGCAGCTAGTGCGGGGTGCCTCCCCCACTGTCGCCGCCTCCGGCG